CGAGCGATGGCCAGTTTCTATGTTCAACACAATAAACCAATTGACCTTAATCACCGATTAGAATTAATTAATTAACTTAACTAATTCATTAAAGTCTTGGATTTAACCATCCGGTCAAACCTACGACAACAGAATATCCAGTCAAAGCCTAGGTCAAACATGACCTAACCCAAGTCAAAGTCAAACCTGTTCAGTCAATTCACAATCCTCAACAATTCAATTCAAACAATCAATTTAATTCAATTAACCAATTTAGCCAAATTATAGCATAAACACATATAACGATCCAAACCATTAAATCTATTCTGAATGCTATTAACTTCATAGTACGGACCTGGATTACGCCGAAATCGAATCGATAGCTCGAACGGAAGACAAATCAACGAAATCAACCGAACGGGTCAAATCGAGTCAAAATACGAAATTGACCAATCAATCCGGCGTGGAGGTTAATCTGCCGGCGATATCAACTCGGGGCAGCGGCCGGATGCGGCGACGGTGACGGACGCCGGCGACAGTGGCGGAGCGGCAGCTCGACGGCGGGGAAGGATGCCGGCAGTGGAGGCGACGGACTTCCGGCGAAGGATGGGCAGCGACTGGCTTCCGGCGACGGCGGCTGGAGGTTCGGGCGACGCTGCAACTCGGCGGCGCTCGTTTCCGGCGAGGGCGAGACAGCGGCGTCCGGCGCTGGCTCACGGCGGGGAGCGACGGCGGTCTGGCTTGCGCGACCGGCTGGGCAGCGATGATTGGCTGGGCGGCGGGCTTCCGGCGGCGAGGCTGGCCGGGAAAGACGAAGAAGAAAGAAGAAGAAGGAGAAGAAAAGAAGAAGAAGAAGAAAAAAGAAGAAAAAGGAACGGACGAAGAAGGAGAAGGACGAACGAAGATAAGATAAGGTTTATGTGGTTTAGGTTTATTTAATGGTCCCATTCCAAAAAGGATTGGGCTTTGGACCCAAAATACCTGATTAAATGATCATAACTTGAGCTCTGTAACTCCGATTCGCGAGCCGTCTGAACCGACGCGATCACAAAAATATTTCCTACGAGATGAAATAAAAGTTGGGCTTAAAATCCAAATTATAATTTTAACCCCTTATTGGGCCCAATTCGTAATCAATTGCTCTAACAATTTAATTAATTCTTTTGGGCCTGATTTCGGGGCGTTACAGTTTACCTTGAAGTGCGTCATATGTCAATGTATTGTAATCTCGGCCTTCTTTGATAGGGTTGACCGTAGACTTCCATTCCGGTGTGAGACTTCGAAGGATTTTTCGAACGAGAACATGATCCTCATAATGCTTTCCAAGTGTATCCAAATTTGAGACGATAGTTGAAAATCTCTTGAACATGCCATCTATTGTTTCATTTTCCATTATCATGAAAAGCTCATACTCATGGGTGAGTAAGTCGATCTTTGAGTTCTTCACTTGACTTGTTCCTTCATATGTGACCTCTAATTTGTTCCACATCTCATTGGCCGTCTTGCACCTTGAGATTTTCCGATAGTCATCCGGGTTCACGGAACAATATAGAAAGTTGATGGCCCTTGCATTTAGTTGCATCTTCTTCTTGTCATTTGAGGTATATTTAGTCTCTAACTTTGGAACAAGAACCCCGTCAACAATCTTCGTGGGAACCGTCTCTCCATGCTTGATCACCATCCAAGAATCATAATCATTTGATTGGATGAATATTCTCATCCTCTCTTTCCAATAAGCATAATTTGTTCCGTCGAAAAGTGGTGGCCTTGTCGTGGATTGTCCTTCGGCAACTCCGGGTTGAAATGTTCTTCCGGCCATGATCTTTTTAAATTTTCAGCGGTAAAGCTTTGAAAATCCCTCGCTCTAATACCACTTGTTAGACACCTCGCACATCTCTAGAGGGGGGGGTGAATAGAGGTGTTGCCCAAAAGACCAGTTTTTTTTTGCGCGGAAACGTTCTTCACGAATATTCAATAAAAACAATGCACCACAAACAAAATAAAGTGAAGGATAAGAGCAATGCACACACGATATATACTGGTTCGGCCTATATGCCTACATCTAGTCCCCGAAGCAATCGTGCCCAGGCCTTCACTAACCCGTCAAACTTAACGGAGTTTGACAATCCGAATACAACTCGAGAACTTGATTTCACAAGCCTCTTATCTTACCACCGAAGTTTTGATTTCACAAAACTCAGGATTTCTTCCGCCTAACGTTTGATTTCACAAACCGTTAGGATTTCTACCACTTGGTGTAATCCCAACACCAAGAATACAAATCCCTTACAATAAAGTAAGAAAACAAACCGCAACCGAGTAATTCTCCCAACACGGAGTAGATTGTAGCAAATACAATGAAGTCCTTTAGAATATGGCAATATCTCTCAAAGACTCAAGCAATGAGGAAAACCTCAAGCAAGAAATGATTTAGCAATCAAAACAATTGCCTTGCTTGGATATTAGGAGGGATTGAGTAGAATCTCTTTGGATATTCAAAGGATATGTTCTTCAAAGTGTTCTAAGTGTTCTTCTGAAGATAATCTCGAAAGTAGATAGTTTATAGAAGTTGGGGAGTGGATAGGGATGAAAAGGATTCAAAAAACTAGCCGTTTGGTAGTTGAAACTGTCGACTTATTCGAATAACTCAAGAACTATTCGAATAGTTTGGATCAATCGCGTGGCTTGAAAAAACCAGTTCCTATTCGAATAAATGGTGATTTATTCGAATAAATCAGGTTGAAAAACCAAAACTTATTCGAATAAGTGGTG